ATAATATTATTAATAATAGTAATAATAATGACAATGCTATCAATGATGATGATAAAAAATATAATAGGGAAGATGCAGATAGTATTAATACAGATATCAATAATATGAAAGGAAAAACAAAAACATAACAATAATATAAAAACTTTGTGAAAAATATTAGTGACAACAACAAACGTACAAAAAGAATATAATTTACAAAAATAATTGCAATGTAAAATAATTGCAAAATTCTACAAAATATCAAAGTAATTATTAATAATAAAAATAACAGCAGTTATCATAGCAATGATTAAGGCAATGATCATGATAATAAAATGGTCAGTACCTGAATAATGATAATAAAGAGAGTAATACGGATAATAATGATCATTATAATAATAACAGCAATAACACCATTGCTATTAACATTTAGACTTTACAGCTCCTTTACACTTTATTTTTGCCGTTTACAAGTAAAGACTTTAAGGCTAACAATGAAGTAGTTTTAGTGTATGGCAATATGTGATTAACTTAGAATAATAATAGTTGTGGCCATCTAGTTTTCGTAATAGGTAACATCATAAAAAGACTCTTGACTGCCCCCCCTCTCCTTCCACGACCTCAGGCGGCAACCAAAAACAAAACAAAAACAAGCACCTCCCAACAAAAAACAAACAAAAACAAAACGAAAAAAACCCTTTTATTTCCCTAGTCATCCGTCTTGCTAATAATTGTACTTTGTCATTATGGCTCGTGTATCTGCAGTAACTGCGCACCCTTACTCAATGGCGCGCGGTTTCCCAGTCTGTCCTTAAACGAGTGTGAGTATCTATCACACACGCGTGCGCGGGCGGTATAGCGCGCCCCTGGACCGAAGCTCCCACTACAGAGGGGCAATGCTGGCGAGGGTCGCAGAGTGAAAACGAGAGGGAAAAGAAGGCTGTGCGGTACGAGCATGAGAGAGGGAGAGATCGGGTGGTCCCTAACAGATGTTTGTTAACGGCAAAAACGTTGTGCGCCTCTATCATTAACACTCGAGCTCTGTTTTAATTTCCAAATCTATTTTCAGTAAATATTTCAAATTCTATTAAAATCACCAAGTTACATTTTAAAACTTTTCGTGTGAGCTGGTGGATTTTTTTTTTACGTGAATGGTAGGGCCTATATGGACTCCCAACTTTAAAAAAGGTGTTAACAACAAATATTATGAGTGAGTGAGTTCCTTCCAACTTCTCAAAGGCTTTGACGTTTGTGAACTTTCCACTGGATCAGGATTTAAAAACAAACAAACAAACAATCCCTTCTTCGTCAGAGCAACAAGTGACAAAAGTAAGTTTCCCCCTCTGTTGACCCGGTTAAATTTTAACTTTCTAAGAAGACCTTGTTTCTCCAGTAGTTTTTCACCATCCTTTCTTCGTTTCGCTTTTTTTTTCTTGATTTTAAAATATTTTTATAAATACGTGTAATTTTTTTATACATCCTAAATAACTAATTAGAAGACTAGATGATCATCTGATTAATTCATCATTCATTTATTTTTATTAATTTTCCCCCATTCATTTGTGTGTTCATTTGTTTATTCACTTATTCATCTATTCATTCAATTAAAAAAACAACAACAACAATTTATCAATAAACTAATTTACTGTTTTCCACTGGAGGGTGGCAAGATCTTTGATCCTGACAAAGTTTTGTTTCTTATTTTAATGTTGTTTTGTATTCAATCAATCTTTCTGGTCTTTATTGGGGTTGCTATAGGTGTCTTTGTTGGTGTTGTCGTCTGCTGTTTCTGTTGTTGCTGCTGTTGTTGTTGCCGTTGCTGCTGTTGCTGCTGTTGCTGTTGTTGCTGCTGTTGCTACTGTAACTGCTCAAGCTGTTGTTGTCGCTGTCATTTTGTTCCTATTTGCACTGTACTCGATGACACTGTGGCTGCTATTGTTTCTACTACCACACCTAATGATTTTCCTTACGATAATTCCATATTTTCTTTCTAAAATTGATTTCCTGCTTATACCGCCATTGCAGGCAACCACCGTGCTCTTAATTATTTCGGCCTTCCCAGTTTTTCCCCCTCTCGTGCTTTTTCTGCTTCTTCCTTGGCTTTGTTCCTGCAGCGGAAGCCTTTATTGCTTAGGGATGTTTTAGTTTGTGTCTTCCGTAGCAGCCCCAATCGGCTCGTTGGTGTTGTACTGGATCTTGGTGCAAGTGACCCTGGTTCTATTCTCTATTTGTGGTCTCTTGAACATATCCTTTTAAGAAGTCTTCCTGGTACTCCGTTCACTGGGCATGTTCTATTGTAGTTAGAGGATAATAATCGAAATCACTGCTTCTTACTGACCATAAATTATGTACTAGGTTTAGAGGTACTGTATGCTGATTCTACAGCATTTCGCGTACGACGCAGGTTCATTGAATGTCAAGTAATCCATCCTCAGCTAATGTACCGTAGATAATGGAATATACATGTTTTGCGTCGCCATTGGCACAATTCAAATCTTCTACCCAGTCAACCCGGGCTGAAAGGGATACAATATCTCAGCAGAAAGATCAAGATGCTCGATAAAATCTATTCCAGGATGGGAATCGAACTCTGGTGTCCTGCCAGCGACGCCTAGGCGCCAAATGGCTACCCCACAGACACCGATCAGCGGTCCGCTCTGAATAGCGCCGATAGTGTTGTGTAAAGCGGAAGGCAACTGTAACAGATGTAATTTCATAACTCAGTATCATGGCTGTCGGAACAAGGTGCGACGGTAACTTTACATAATTTATGAAGTGTGAGCAGTGTTTGCTTGTATGTGGGTTTACTCACACACAGGAACATGGCTCATAGTTTCCTCTCCATAAATTTTGCTGCCACTGTTTTTATAGACTGTTCAGGTTATTGCTCACTGGAAACATAACGCCTGTTCGAAGCTCATGCGTGTCTTCCTCGTTTGGTATTAGAAAGCTTATAATGTCTTTTAATGGCGCACATTAATGTTGTATTGGGCGTATACATGTACCATTTATCGAGCACCAACGGTTGGACAAAAACAAACTGAAAGCCATTTTGATTATGAACTCCAATACAACCTAAGATGAAGAATGAGCCTCTGAAATTCTAAACATTGCTATGCCAAATTCCACTCAGCATGATATCAACAGCACCAACAGGGTGCCCAGTTTTAGCCTCTGTTCATTTGCATTCTTCACTTTAATGTCAAAGTGTTACAAAATAATTGTCGTCTCTCCCTCCCCATGGAAGCCTCACCTGACTTCACAGTACTTATTTAGCCTACCAGATCTTTCCAAATTACAATGGATCGGTGAGTGTCTTTCAGCCCCCATCTCATATTGTCTCGTCTCTGCTATTTTCAAGGAGGCGCTCCCTTTGCTGGCTGGATAACAGGCTTGGCAACGATGAGGAAGGCAATTGTTGCAATTTTTAGTGTTATTTTAAATAAGAGTTGCAGCGCTTTTCCAATACGAATAGATCTAGATCATGTGCCGAAGGTTAGAGGTCACGAGGAAAGGAAGATGGATGTTTGATAGGAAAGAAGTGGCAAATCGCATCAGAGCACCCGCAAACTAACAACTTTCTAATCTCAAAATCGAAGTTCATAAAACTATTTGGTTTGTCGGGATTTCTGGGCTCTCCACCCGTCCGTTGTTGTTGTTGTTTTATTTTTGGTACTGTCAGAGAGGAACGAAAATCCTCTGTTTCTGTTCTTATAATAACCTTGTACTGTTGAAAGGAGCGTTAAAGCCATAGCTTACAACTGTGAAAACTCCGATTTTATCATTGCCAAGCAGTCATTTGGGGCTGGACAAACTAAAAAAAAAGAAGTAAAGAGGAGAATTATCCCCCACTCGTGAGGAGTACACCGCCCGAGCCGATGAACGCTTAAATCGAACTCAAAACCCTATTTGGGGCGGCAAGCCAACGTCTGTACAGGATACCAGATTACCTCTCGATTTTGATTGTCCTAATCTAGTACTAGAATCGTGCAGGTTGCAGGGAGCTTATTTTCTTCTCAATATCACATTATAAGATCATGGTTGCGTGTGGTATGGTCTGTCGCTTCAAACTATCAAAACTCTGTTAGAGGTTTTGGACACAGCCATCTGCGTCTCGCATCAATAGAATTTTGAAAGGACATGATCACCGAAATTTTAAATTTCACGAGGGGGGGGGGGGGGGATGTTCCAATAGGTGGTCAATGGAATAAGAAAATTAAAAACGCCTAGTTGTACCATAGTAAAAGCGGTTGCACATTTGAAATCTCGCTCCTGCAATGCTCTTAGATGGGAATGTCCACAAGAACAATGATGCTCCCCCTCCCCCCCCCCCCACTTCCACAACCTTCACACCCCCCCCTTCCCCCAAATCTGAGGTCAAACTCTCCTGACTAACACTTTTAGCTAATTGGTCCCAGATTTTGTGTCGAACAAAGTGCTTGCCCACAATTATTTCTCACCAGGTTGCTGGGTTCGCGGAAGGAATTACTCGTCTTTCGGTCAGGATATCTTACGTTCGTATCAGCTTGATTTTGATACCAAGAAAACTTTTTCCAGCAAGTCCAACTAATGTCTCTAGGTCCTATCGGAGACGGACGTTAAACTAGGAGGTCCCGTCCCTTAAATAACCTAATAGTGTTGATAGGGGCGTTAAAACCGTACCATTTCACCATTTTTTCCCGAATGTCTGTGGTTCGTCCAGTGGCAGGTGAATTATAAAACATAGAAGCAGCCTCTTAAAATAACTCATTTATTTGTATCGGAAGTGTACGAGTCTAGATTTAAACATAAACACCACCTCAGCGATACTGCATGCTAGTATTGTTTATCTTGTACAATGTAGTGGTGGAATGTAGGTGCTCTTTACCTCAGGAAGAGGTAGGCTGAGCAAAAAGACGGATTGGGGGAGTCATGGGAACCCTGTAAAACTATAATATCCTGGTTGAAAGAGCTGCAGAGTTGACCTACGATAAAAAAATCGCATCTCCCCTCGACGTTGAACAACATCAGAGGATGAAAACGTTTTTAAAACAATGTAAAATGCATTTCTGAAACTTTTCTTTGCGTTATGCAATGTGATATATTAATTTACCTTAGTCGATGGTGTAGCACTTAGGCTCTTTGCTGTCATTCGCAGAAAACAGAGTGGGAGAATTTTTTATCGAGTTTTCGGTCTCTCTGATGGGACATCGTATCTCTCTCTCTCTCTCTCTCTCTCTCTCTCTCTCTCTCTCTCTCTCTCTCTCTCTCTCTCTCTCTCTCTCTCTCTCTCTCTCAGTTTGGGTTGGCCCCGATAGGCAGGGTCGAAGCTCGACTCCTAAATCACTACCCTAGAGTTACAAAGTTCTATCTGCTCAGTGTCTAGTTTGGAGAAATCTGACGTCAAGCTTTGTAAGTTTCACAACATGTCAAGCTTTTTCGAATGCAATTCTTTGAATATATTGATAGAGTAGACTAAAAGTTTGATTTCTGATCTAATGAACTAAGTAACTCAAAAAGGCCCACAAAAAAATGTCAGATAGAACTTTGTAATCTGAGGTAGCGAAATGATATAGATTGTATCGACAGGGGAGTAAAAACGTCAACATAAACGAAGTTTAAGAGAGGTCTAAAGACACATTTCTTCTTCTTCTTCTTCTTCTTCTTCTTCTTCTTCTTCTTCTTCTTCTTCTTTTTTCTTCTTCTTCCAATTATTATGAAGTGTGACATATTAAATTGATGACAACCAGCATACTTACTCAGAAAACATGTTTTGCTGCCCGTTTCATTAAGCAGACCGATGTGTTTACTCAGCATAAAATTGTATATTTTTTGACAACCACGCCTTCGGTGATCACATTTACTAAGCATGCCCATGTAGTCATATTTGTGTTCAATGATGCTGCCCAATTTAGATCGCTAGTTTTTCCATTTCATTTTACAGACGTAGACGCCCTGAATGATGGACAGCAAATAAATTCATGGAAATCAACAGCATGAATCGTCCATCTGTCTCTCTCATCAATATTATTTCAACGTCATGATATCACTCCCAAGTAGGTTAATTGTAATATACAGACCGGTAACAAAGGCTTATTTCCAACAGTGAAGCACATGATCATCTCTGGTTACCCGTAGATGTATTATATTATTATATTATCTGATCATTACTTGCATCGATGCAATGTTGTTTCTGTTCTTTCATTCAAATTTATGATGCCACACAGGCAGCTGAAAGCTGTGTGTTTGTGTGCGTGCGTGCACCTATTATATATAATGTATGTGTGTGTGCGTGTGTGTTTGTGTGTGTGTGTGTGTGTGTTGTGTGTTCACGTGCGTGTGTGGGCATG